TAAATACTTTTCAGTCCTCATATGGTTCTCTTCCATACATTGTTTCAGTCTTTTCCATTTCACTTACTGCATCTAGTTTTCTTCCACAATTTAATCTGTTGAGATTCTCTGCCTTTATTTTCCCTTATGAACTAGTTTAGTCAGAAATACACATGGGGACAGATCCAAATCCCACTGAAATCAAAGCTTTGGATCAGACCCATTTATTAAGTATCATTGTAGTGCCTACGGCCCCTAGTCACGAACAAAGACTCCACTGTACGAGGTGTTGTACAATCACAGAACAAAAAGACCATTGCATAGTCACTACTATGCTGATGCTCCCCCATCCATGGCTCGAATAATTTCCAACTGTGTGTTATGACAGACTAAATCAAGAGTTACCTCCATTCTAGTTTCCTCTTATATGAGTCCTATATCTAGTCCAAAAATGTATATAGTTTGAACATAATTGGAACACACTAAGGAGAACTAACAATCTGCCACCTGCGTGTAGCTTGTTCTTTTTTAAAACTTTTTGGATTTTACCTTTTCTTTCTGTTACTTTCTGGTCAGGCAGTCTATTGAAAATGCTCCCTTTATTTATTTACATATAATAATGGTTCTATTTTATCTTTTTTATTTTTCAAAGGTGCTGGATTAACAGTTTTAGCTACAGAAAACCTTTGTTAACATAACAGGCAGCAACAGTACAAGTTCCTTCAAGTATTAACCAGGATAGGCAGGGTTGCAAAACCATGCTCTGAAGTGTCCTCAGCCTCTGTTTGCCAGAAGCTGGGAATGGGCAACAGGGGATGGATCACTTGGTGATTAGGTTCATTCCCTCTGAAGCACCTGGCATTGACCACTGTCAGCACACAGGATACTGGGCAAGATGGATCATTGGTCTGACCCAGTATGGCCATTCTTATGTTCTTTTCCCCTGCAATGGCCCTCAACCTTGTCCTGGGGCAAGGTTTTTTCAGTCTCAATGGCTTTATCTACACTGAGGTTTTTCTGAAAGTCTTGCACTCTTGTTTTGAGCAGGATTAGACAACCCAGTGATAAAATGCCTGTGACTGGACTACAGTTTGTTCTTCCACTGGTGTTGTGACTGGTGGAGCTGCACCTGGGTTATAACGATGGTAGGGGATTTTCAGAAAATCCTCAATGTAGCCTATGGCAACTCTATCCTGGTCCTCTTTGTTGAGACTGGTAATAACTGCAATTATGATGATGTGGTTTTTTGATGTGAACACTTCACTTTAGGACTGGACTGAGATCATAGGCAGGTAATACAGAATCACAATTTTCCAGAAATGTTTGGTCACTACTACTTTGGGCTTCATTCAAACGCATGGTAGTCCCTGTACCATATTACCAGTCACCTGAGCCATTCAGTCTGTGTCACCAAGATCTGCTTATCTCAAATGATTCTCAAGATTTGCTCTGCATACAATAGTGATGTGAGTTATGCAGTGGTTGTCTTGTGACAGATTATATTGATGTTCTGAGCTCTTGGGAGGTAACTCAGAACTAAGTTAAACTCATGTCACCATTATACAAAGTAGACTGACCAGACTGTACAATAACAATGCATAAAGAAAAGGAGTACTTGTGGCACCTTAGAGACTAACCAATTTATTTGAGCATAAGCTTTCGTGAGCTACAGCTCACTTCATCGGATGCATACTGTGGAAACTGCAGAAGACATTAACAATGCATAGCATTTTACACTGTCACTGTCAGAGCAGTTTACACACATAAATTGGTAAGCCAAACACCACCACTGTGAGTGAAGTAAAACTGAAAAATAGGAGGGTAAGTGGTGTGTCCAAGGCCATACAATGAGTTATTGGTAGAGCCAATATTAGAATTCAGGAGTCTAGGTTCCTAAACCAGTTCATTCTTGCTGCCTCTGCTTAAACTGAGACACCCCTTCCCTGCTACCCCTACCCACTTACCTGATCTGAGACATCCCAGATACCTATTAGATCACTGGAAGTGGCAGACTTCTTATCCTGAAGACCATTGCCAGTAATGAGACACAACCTAACTGCTGGAGCCAATGGGTTAATAATTAAAAAACATGTTAAAAATTTCCTCAAATGAAAGCCCAAGTTAGTAGTTTGTTGTTGAGTCCTTAGTATAGTTTAAATGCATTAGATGCACAGAGTGTTAAATTGAGAGGTCAGTGTAATGTGAAATGTTTGCAGATTTACCAAAACTAAATTTAGTTCTTAGGTGTGCAGGGCTACATGGCACTTAGATACCTAAGGGTATGTCTACACTACGGAATAAGGTCGAATTTATAGAAGTCGGCTTTTTAGAAATCGGTTTTATATATTCGAGTGTGTGTGTCCCCACAGAAAATGCTCTAAGTGCATTAAGTGCATTAACTTGGCGGAGCGCTTCCACAGTACCGAGGCTAGAGTCGACTTCCAGAGCGTTGCACTGTGGGTAGCTATCCCACAGTTCCCACAGTCTCCGCTGCCCATTGGAATTCTGGGTTGAGATCCCAATGCCTGATGGGGCTAAAACATTGTCGCGGGTGGTTCTGGGTACATATCGTCAGGCCCCCGTTCCCTCCCTCCCTCCGTGAAAGCAAGGGCAGACAATCATTTCGCGCCTTTTTTCCTGAGTTACCTGTGCAGACGCCATACCACTGCAAGCATGGAGCCCGCTCAGGTAACCGTCACCCTATGTCTCCTGGGTGCTGGCAGATGCGGTACGGCTTTGCTGCACAGTAGCAGCAACCCATTGCCTTCTGGCAGCAGACGGTGCAATACGACTGGTAGTCATCCTCGTCGTGTCCGAGGTGCTCCTGGCCACGTCGGCTGGGAGCGCCTGGGCAGACATGGGCGCAGGGACTAAATTTGGAGTGACTTGACCAGGTCATTCTCTTTAGTCCTGCAGTCAGTCCTATAGAACCGTCTTATGGTGAGCGGGCAGGCGATACGGACTGCTAGCAGTCGTACTGTACCATCTTCTGCCAGCAGGCAAGAGATGAGGATTGCTAGCAGTCGTATTGTACCATCTTCTGCCAGGCAGGCAAGAGATGAGGATGGCTAGCAGTCGTACTGTACCATCTTCTGCTGAGCAGCCATGAGATGTGGATGGCATGCAGTCCTTCTGCACCGTCTGCTGCCAGCCAAAGATGTAAAAGATAGATGGAGTGGGTCAAAACAAGAAATAGACCAGATTTGTTTTGTACTCATTTGCCTCCTCCCCTGTCTAGGGGACTCATTCCTCTAGGTCACACTGCAGTCACTCACAGAGAAGGTGCAGCGAGGTAAATCTAGCCATGTATCAATCAGAGGCCAGGCTAACCTCCTTGTTCCAATAAGAACGATAACTTAGGTGCACCATTTCTTATTGGAACCCTCCGTGAAGTCCTGCCTGAAATACTCCTTGATGTACAGGCACCCCCTTTGTTGATTTTAGCTCCCTGAAGCCAACCCTGTAAGCCGTGTCATCAGTCGCCCCTCCCTCCGTCAGAGCAACGGCAGACAATCGTTCCGCGCCTTTTTTCTGTGCGGACGCCATACCAAGGCAAGCATGGAGGCCGCTTAGCTCACTTTGGCAATTAGGAGCACATTAAACACCACACGCATTATCCAGCAGTATATGCAGCACCAGAACCTGGCAAAGCAATACTGGGCGAGGAGGCGACGTCAGCGCGGTCACGTGAGTGATCAGGACATGGACACAGATTTCTCTGAAAGCATGGACCCTGCCAATGCATGCATCATGGTGCTAATGGGGCAGGTTCATGCTGTGGAACGCCGATTCTGGGCTCGGGAAACAAGCACAGACTGGTGGGACCGCATAGTGTTGCAGGTCTGGGACGATTCCCAGTGGCTGCGAAACTTTCGCATGCATAAGGGCACTTTCATGGAACTTTGTGACTTGCTTTCCCCTGCCCTGAGGCGCATGAATACCAAGATGAGAGCAGCCCTCACAGTTGAGAAGCGAGTGGCGATAGCCCTGTGGAAGCTTGCAACGCCAGACAGCTACTGGTCAGTTGGGAATCAATTTGGAGTGGGCAAATCTACTGTGGGGGCTGCTGTGATGCAAGTAGCCCACGCAATCAAAGATCTGCTGATATCAAGGGTAGTGACCCTGGGAAATGTGCAGGTCATAGTGGATGGCTTTGCTGCAATGGGATTCCCTAACTGTGGTGGGGCTATAGACGGAACCCATATCCCTATCTTGGCACCGGAGCACCAAGCCGCCGAGTACATAAACCGCAAGGGGTACTTTTCGATAGTGCTGCAAGCTCTGGTGGATCACAAGGGACGTTTCACCAACATCAACGTGGGATGGCCGGGAAAGGTGCATGATGCTCGCATCTTCAGGAACTCTGGTCTGTTTCAAAAGCTGCAGGAAGGGACTTTATTCCCAGACCAGAAAATAACTGTTGGGGATGTTGAAATGCCTATATGTATCCTTGGGGACCCAGCCTACCCCTTAATGCCATGGCTCATGAAGCCGTACACAGGCAGCCTGGACAGTAGTCAGGAGCTGTTCAACTACAGGCTGAGCAAGTGCAGAATGGTGGTAGAATGTGCATTTGGACGTTTAAAGGCGCGCTGGCGCAGTTTACTGACTCGCTTAGACCTCAGCGAAACCAATATTCCCACTGTTATTACTGCTTGCTGTGTGCTCCACAATATCTGTGAGAGTAAGGGGGAGACGTTTATGGCGGGGTGGGAGGTTGAGGCAAATCGCCTGGCTGCTGGTTACACGCAGCCAGACACCAGGGCGGTTAGAAGAGCACAGGAGGGCGTGGTACGCATCAGAGAAGCTTTGAAAACCAGTTTCATGACTGGCCAGGCTACGGTGTGAAAGTTCTGTTTGTTTCTCCTTGATGAAACCCCCGCCCATTGGTTCACTCTACTTCCCTGTAAGCTAACCACCCGCCCCTCCTCCCTTCAATCACCGCTTGCAGAGGCAATAAAGTCATTGTTGCTTCACATTCATGCATTCTTTATTCATTCATCACACAAATAGGGGGATGACTACCAAGGTAGCCCAGGAGGGGTGGTGGAGGAGGGAAGGAAAATGCCACACAGCACTTTAAGCACAGCACTTTAAAAGTTTACAACTTTAAAATTTATTGAATGACAGCCTTCTTTTTTTTGGGCAATCCTCTGTGGTGGAGTGGCTGGTTGGCCGGAGGCCCCCCCACCGCGTTCTTGGGCGTCTGGGTGTGGAGGCTATGGAACTTGGGGAGGAGGGCGGTTGGTTACAGAGGGGCTGCAGTGGCAGTCTGTGCTCCAGCTGCCTTTGCTGCAGCTCAACCATACACTGGAGCATACTGGTTTGGTCCTGCAGCAGCCTCAGCATTGAATCCTGCCTCCTCTCATCACGCTGCCGCCACATTTGAGCTTCAGCCCTGTCTTCAGCCCGCCACTTACTCTCTTCAGCCCGCCACCTCTCGTCCCGGTCATTTTGTGCTTTCCTGCACTCTGACATTATTTGCCTCCACGCATTCGTCTGTGCTCTGTCAGTGTGGGAGGACAGCATGAGCTCGGAGAACATTTCATCGCGAGTGCGTTTTTTTTTCTTTCTAAGCTTCACTAGCCTCTGGGAAGGAGAAGATCCTGTGATCATTGAAACACATGCAGCTGGTGGAGAAAAAAAAAGGGACAGCGGTATTTAAAAAGACACATTTTATAAAACAGTGGCTACACTCTTTCAGGGTAAACCTTGCTGTTAACATTACATACATAGCACATGTGCTTTCGTTACAAGGTCGCATTTTGCCTCCTCCCACCGCGTGACTACCCCCTCAACCCTCCCCCCTCCCCGTGGCTAACAGCGGGGAACATTTCTGTTCAGCCACAGGTAAACAGCCCAGCAGGAATGGGCTCCTCTGAGTGTCCCCTGAAGAAAACCACTCTATTTCAACCAGGTGACCATGAATTAGATCTCACTCTCCTGAGGATAACACAGAGAGATAAAGAACGGATGTTGTTTGAATGCCAGCAAATATACACTGCAATGCTTTGTTCTACAATGATTCCCGAGTACGTGTTACTGGCCTGGAGTGGTAAAGTGTCCTACCATGAAGGACGCAATAAGGCTGCCCTCCCCAGAAACCTTTTGCAAAGGCTTTAGGACTACATCTAGGAGAACCGCAAATGCCAGGGCAAAGTAATCCTTTCACATGCTTGCTTTTAAACCATGTATAGTATTTTAAAAAGTACACTCACCAGAGGTCCCTTCTCCGCCTGCTGGGTCCAGGAGGCAGCCTTGGGTGGGTTCGGGGGGTACTGGCTCCAGGTCTAGGGTGAGAAACAGTTCCTGGCTGTCGGGAAAACCGGTTTCTCCGCTTGCTTGCTGTGAGCTATCTACAACCTCCTCCTCATCATCATCTTCTTCGTCCCCAAAACCTGCTTCCGTATTGCCTCCATCTCCATTGAAGGAGTCAAACAACACGGCTGGGGTAGTGGTGGCTGAACCCCCTAAAATGGCATGCAGCTCATCATAGAAGCGGCATGTTTGGGGCTCTGACCCAGAGTGGCTGTTCGCCTCTCTGGTTTTCTGGTAGGCTTGCCTCAGCTCCTTCAGTTTCACGCGGCACTGCTTCGGGTCCCTGTTATGGCCTCTGTCCTTCATGCCCTGGGAGATTTTCACAAAGGTTTTGGCATTTCGAAAACTGGAACGGAGTTCTGATAGCACGGATTCCTCTCCCCAAACAGCGATCAGATCCCGTACCTCCCGTTCGGTCCATGCTGGAGCTCTTTTGCAATTCTGGGACTCCATCATGGTCACCTGTGCTGATGAGCTCTGCATGGTCACCTGCAGCTTGCCACGCTGGCCAAACAGGAAATGAGATTCAAAAGTTCGCGGTTCTTTTCCTGACGACCTGGCCAGTGCATCTGAGTTGAGAGTGCTGTCCAGAGCGGTCATAATGGAGCACTCTGGGATAGCTCCCGGAGGCCAATACCATCGAATTGTGTCCACAGTACCCCAAATTCGAGCCAGCAACGTCGATTTAAGCGCTAATCCACTTGTCAGGGGTGGAGTAAGGAAATCGATTTTAAGAGCCCTTTAAGTTGAAATAAAGGGCTTCATTGTGTGGACAGGTGCAGGTTTACATCGATTTAACGCTGCTAAATTCGACCTAAAGTCCTAGTGTAGACCAGGGCTAAGTGAGAGGTGCCTCAGACATACCTAAAATAGATTGCTGTGGATGTCTACACAACTTTCTTCAAAATAGACTGAATGCATGAATGCATCCGATGAAGTGAGCTTATGCTCAAATAAATTGGTTAGTCTCTAAGGTGCCACTAGTACTCCTTTTCTTTTTGCGAATACAGACTAACACCGCTGCTACTCTGAAACCTTTCAAAATAGACTGTGCTTTTGAGCTTGAAAGCATTAACCTCCTTTTATAATAATCATATTTGTCACTTACATACTGCTCTTCACCCATGATTTCATAGAGCTTCACAAAGATTGGTTTCATTATCCCTTCTTCACAGATAGAGAACTGAGGGGCAGGGAAATTAAATGACTTGCATAAGCTCCTATAGCGAGACAGTGGAAGGGGAAAGGCTCAGCTCCAGTATATTCAGATCAACAGTGCAGGCCACACAAAAAGAAGTCAGCAGTGTGAGTCTTTTAGCAAAATGTCACTGTACCCTACCAACTCAAAGCCATCTCTTCTCTAAAAGAAACTTCTGAGAGTGACTTCTGTAATTCACTGTTGTGTCCTCCTCAGAAAAGCAGAACTGAAAACATCGGCTGACTGTTGATGAACTGAAGTTCTAGTACTGAGGAACATTCTATTCACATATTCTAACAGCACCATGTCTCTGAGTAGTTGCAAAATTATTTGAAATCTTTAAGAAGGCTAAAGACTAGGGTGTGGTAGAATTCACAGCTTCTGTAGGCAGATCTTGTTCCTCCATTCCCCCAAACAAGCTCCCAGTGTCCCACCCTCCCTCCTATCCCCTTGTGGTTTCAAAGATTCCCTCCCCACCTCATGCCAAGGACTCTGTGTGCCCCTTCTTTCCCCCAAACTTCCCCATTCTCCTTTTCCTCCCTATGCAAGGTACCTTGTCTACCCTCGCCCAATACTGGTTGTCCCTCATTATCCCCTATGTCAAGGTCTGTGTGTGCCCCTCCCGCCCCATGTCTCCCTCCATCACATGCTGTGCGTATCCCGTCATTCCCCCTTCTCCAAATACTTCTCCATTCCCCCCTCTACCACATGTCAGGAGCTCTGTTCCTCCATTTCCACCTCCCCACTCCACAATAGTGGTTGTGTGCGCACACTCATTCCTTCCCCCCCACTCCATTATTATTTTCTTTCTTTCTGTCAGGGAGATAAGTCATTCAGGGCATCAACACATGAAACTCTACTGAGAGGATAGGCAGAGCTACAGTGGGTGGGGCTTGTTATCAACTGGATCTTTGATCAATAGACAATTACAGAGCAATGCCTTCAAGCTAATTAAAAAACTGGCTAGCCAGCACAGAATACAACTACCTAGCATTAGTGAAATTCCACACAAAGTCATGACATTCTTTCAGTCCTAGCCACATAGGCTCTGATCTTGCTCCTGTTGAAGTCACTGATTTATGTGGGTGGGGGATAGAGAGCCTGGATGATGACATAGCTCCTTATGAAGTTCAAGATTGTGTGGACCTCACAAACTATTTCTGAAATTTGCAAAAATAGTCTGAGTTTGTGTTATTTTCTTTATTTATTTGCAAAAATAGTCTGAGTTATTTTCCAGTGATATAAACCCATGTTGATGTTTTTCTATAATGGGGAGTCAGTTTAAAGATAATATCTATCTGTTCCATCCTCTTTGTGCTGAAATCTAAGGTATTTTTGATAGAAAGTATCTGGGCACTAATGAGCCATTACCTGCACCATGATTTTTCCCCAAAATACGATAAGATGGTGATAGATACTATTGTATTAGGTGTGATAGACTAATATAATATAGGTATGCTTTTTAAATTTATTTCAGTTTTTACTATACCATTCCAGAAATGTTGGTCCTGATTTTCATTTACACTGAGGCCACTTTACACCACTGTGGTCCTCTTCTGGACAATTTGTTTGATTTCAGATTCCCACCAGCTAACCTTGCTTTGCTGTTCAGTAATAGCCCGGTTGCACTGTAAAATCTAATTCCTTTACTGTAATTCCTAAGTACAACATTTTAAAACCGGGGGGGAGGGGGCGGGGCAGTGTCAATACGCCAGTTGGTATGACCTACTGGGGTAAGAGAAATAGTTCCCACCTGAAGTGTTTATAAAAGGTAAGAAGGAACTGAGTAGAAACCAAATGTAAATCAGTCTGCTTCTCCTAGGTACAATCAACAGCAGCATAATTGCAAATCCGCACACACATGTACAAAGTATCATTCTAATACAGCATGGTCTCTCTGGACAAGAGTGTGTACCATCCACAGGCGCTGGCTTCTAATTTTCTCTGGGGATACTCAACTCCCACTCAGCCCCAGCCCCCACCCCAACTCTACCCCTTCGCCCAAACCATGGAAAAGCTTTTCCACAGTGTGCAGGGGGCGCTGGGAGGGAGGGGGAGGAGTTGATCAACAGGACCACCGGGAGGCGCTGAGGGGAGAGAGGGAGTTTGGCTGCTGGTGGGTCCTAAGCACCCGCTATTCTTTTTCCATGGGTGCTCCAGGGCTGGAACCCCCACGGAGTCAGCGTATGGTACCATCTTGCATTTAGCTTGGAAACCCTGGTTACCTTCTCCAGACCTGAAGACGAGCTCTGTTAAGCTCAAAAGACTTGTCCCTTTCACCAAAAGAAGCTGGGCCCATAAAATATATTACTTCACCTACTTTGTCTTTCTCAATGTACAATCTGTCATACAGAACATTGCCTCACAGTGTCTCATAACAGCATATGAAACTCTAGCAAACATATCTCAGACCTCGCTTGAAAGGAGGCAAGGTACTGAGTGGGGAAAAAAGCTTCAGTAAAATCTCTTGTTTATTAAGTGAGCTAACCAAAATCCTCAAAGCTAAACATTTGTTTACTTACCTCTATTAGCAAAGAAGATACTAGAAAGACTAATTAGCTACAGAAAATATATACTATTGTCTATCGAGTGAGTAACTTGAATGAATACAAAACTTGGCTTGGATACCGAAAATCAATTTTGTACATGTAAATTCAAGATGGAGGGCTGTGACTGGATGGAGCACTAGCTAGATCTCTCCAATCAAAACTGAGCATTGCGCGGTGGGATTTGTCATCCCACCGGGCCACACTTTCCTCATTTTATGGAAATTAGGTTCAGCCTTAGAATTCTCAGAAAGTTGCGAGTGAAGCCCATGAGCAAATGTTGACTGTCCCAGCCCCAGGAGAGTGTGAAAAGTCCTGAACTGCTTACCACACTCTACTAAAATATAATCACAGAACAATTGCATAAACATGCAAACAGTACCCCAACTGTGAGATTTTTCAGTTTAAAAATGTTTCACAACCATTTGTTCCCAATCCGAAGACTTGATTATTATCGCTGCTTGTCTCCTAGTCTTCCGCACAATCTTCCAACCTACATCTATTCTGAACTTTCTTCCCATGCCAGTCACTGTTTTTAGCTCACTTTAGGAATACTTGCTCGTCTTCTCTGAAAAGCTCTGCAGCAGTCCCAGCAATGTTTTCAATTTTTAGCCTTTTCCTTTCAGTCTCCACTGTATGTTACCATCACATACTGTGCAGGATCTCAGGAAATTTAAAATCCAGAATTAAAGAAAACAGACTCTGAATGTCACAGGTGGCATTTATTCATCGTCAGTCACTAAAACTGCAGGGAGGATAATAAGTGGTTTGCAAATAAAACACAGAATGAGGCTATAATAAGGATTGCCAATTATCTGATTCAGTGACTAAATGAGGAAGGCTTATTATAAATCTTAGAATATCATAAGCACATAAGGAGCAATATTAATATATTATAAATCAAAACGAATACAGAAAAACACACACAACATTATTTTAAAGCAAACAGCACATGACAGCATAAAAACACAGGACTATGTTGCCTAACTGGTCTCTTTACATTTCCCCCTCCCCAACATGTACACACACATTTTTGGGTGACACAAGTTTGTGTGTTTCCAACATTCACATCTGTATGAGCAAGTAGGGAAGGTAGCACTCAGAAATGTGAATGTCAAATTTTGAAAAAAGCATGTGAAATGCTATTTTCCCCAAGCAAAGTGTGCGTATTGTGTGTGTGTGTGTGTGTGTGTAATGTATATCTCCTTCACCACTAGAACCTCATATTTATCATCATGCTGCGCTTCAAGCCCACTAGAAACATCATTATAAAGCCTCATTCTACAGGTCCCTAGTAGAAGCATGTATGGAATGAATGACACACTAAGTAGCTTATATTGCGCCTCTCTGAGTCATGTATCTGTTTACTGGTTACTGAATCCTTTATTGCTAATAGCTCTGTAATCTCTCCTATTCCAGGGGGCTTGCAGTTGGCCAGCTCTCAGCCTGGACTTGGCCAACATCTCTTCTCTTGTTCCAGGGTCCCCTCTGAAACACCCATTCCTGATTAAAACCATATCCTCCACAGCAGTTGAGCTCATTCCTAGGGTCCTTTCTGAGTCCTATTACCTCCAGTCCCTGGCACTGCTCCTCAGGTCCAGCTGCAAGAAACTGAGGGCGAGCAGACGTCCAGAGCCCTCTCAGTGCTGCAGTGTCAGACAAGGTGGCTGGGGAAAGAGAAGGGTTGAACTCCCTGGCTACTGGGCTCCTGAGCAGCCTGCTCTGTGGCCAGCTTCACTTTTTTAATATCCCCTTCTCCAGTTAGAGCATGCTCTACAGGTGTTCCTAATTGGCACTGTCCGAGTGTAGGGACACTCATTAGTCAGTGGGATGGGGGCATGTGCCATCACAGAGCACATCAATTCTACCACCACCTCTGTGGCACTAACCTCCAAAACTACTTTTCTATCCTAATATCCATCAATGTCCAGTTTCGTATCCCCATCTCTCAGACATATAGCTGTCCATTGTACCTGATGATGATGTCATGGCATCTTGTGTGTTGTTTTGTGGCTGTATAGTCTGAGCTGCAAGGAGCAAGATCACAAACAGTTGTCATAGAGGAATGTGTAGGCTCCCACTGAGGACTTGGCATGATACCTGTGGCTCTTTTTTCAATCAATTTCTTGCATTTGTCTTGTTCAAAGTGTTTACAACCTCTGTTGATAGCTGCTCTCCATTCAGGTCTGTCTTTGGCTGTGTCTTCGAATTACTTTTCTACCCTACCCTGTCCAGTTACATATCCCCATTTCT